CATCTTTTATCCTTTATGTGCAAGAAAGCAGATATTTCTACCGCCATGATGTACCAATCAAAGCAAGAAAGTCAGCAGCCTCTTGTAAGATGGAATTCAATAAAACTAACTGAGAAATATAAAGATAGGAATGATATGAGGAGTACGAATAGTCGCCCTACATCATAGCAATATAGTTCGGCTTTTCTCCAAATATTTTTGAAATCTTGATACTGACTCTGGGGTTGTATGAGCAGCCAGTTTCATTTCCAGGAGTCGAGAAACAAACTGCAATATAGTCCCACTGTTTCACCGCGTCCAGACATCCCATCGTTAGCCTCCCATCTTCCATATGTGTCACACAGGCATTCTGAAACTTAATTGTTGAACACTTAACGCTGATCTCACCGAATAGTACCTACTTTTATAATTTATAAACAATGGAAATTCCATTGTCAGACGTTCATATCACTAAAGAAAATCATTAGGAGGGACATACTACATTTCGATTCATTGCTAATTGACATGACATATCGACGGGAAGCGACTGGAATTGTGTAGATGAAGATGGTTCTCGAGGTTGTATTGTTTTGAGATTGTATAAGTAAGCGTATTATTGAAGAAGATCGAGAGAACTAGATAGCCCACTGCTGGATGTATTCTCAATATATTATGGTGGCCATAAAGTCATACTGATAATGCATTTGATGAGCTTTATGCGTGAACAGAAATTTTCCCAACATCGTTGGCCTAAACTAAAGCTTTGTCCTTATTCCTTTAAGGTACAATTTCCTTCAGCCATTCACTAAATAGCCTCCCATAATAGGTGGCAATGCTGTGTTGTTTGTTCTTTTCTTTTCAAATTGGCATAAAAGCAACGACAGGTAGCGTAACCTTCATAAACCTTCACAAAGGTCATCAATACTTTACGGTGAATGTCGCAAAATGCTTGCCGAAACGATTTAACTTGCAAATTTGGAGATTTCCAAACTAAAGTGTCTCCTAAAACGTTCGTTAGTTTATGCAAGAGAATGTAAGAAAAAGGGATAGAAGTAAGGCCCTACTTATTGCCTTGCTTTCCGATACACCGCATCATCAACCATTGCTCTTCCCTCTCTCTTACGATTACGTTTGTAAAAAAGTGTAGATAATTAATCTCTGAACTTCATCGTATCTCGCATAGCACAAAAGCGAGCTTATTGATAATGTCACGGCAGCCATATTAGCGTACAGCGGTGTGAGTTGCTTGTTTACTTCAATGGTATTTCTCCTAAAGACGGCGACTAACGAATATTCGACCTCATTCTCTGAACAAGAAATTTTCATAAGAGTGTTAGTAACCATTTGAAAGCTTAAGTCTTTGACTAGCGCGATACGTGGCCGGTTCTTCGAAAAAGACCCTTCTTCAACGCTTCAGCGAAAGAGAATTTTTTCTGTTTCACACACGCGCTTTTTTTTCGTAAGACAAAAGGTCTTTTTTAGACTATTAGTAATCATTCGAAAGCGTGCGATTTGAAGATTCTAACACTATCTTTGATTACTGAAAACACAGTTTCTTTTTAGTTGAACAGGGAACATAAGTCTGATTCACGTACTCGAGCATGTATTTTTTGGCTAAATTACGGGGTGAGGGCGGGAACCAATGCGGATGCCGTGATCGCAACACGGCCCATCGATCGATTGGCGCTTTAAGAGGTTACATGGAAGGGCGATTCTATTCAATTGAGAACTGTTCCACCGCATTGTAAGAAATCTCAGGTCAAATGTCTGACTCTAATACTAATAGATTTTTTACACGTTCATGTGCTTATCGTGCTTCCAGTGAAGTAATAGTTGAATCGCGCGGGCGACGTGACACATAATAAGATTTTGAATTTGATAGCATACTAAAGGGTGTTTTTGAAAGACGGCTAGATACATTGCTAGCCAGAGACTTAAGCTTTCTCATGATTACTAACACTCTTATGAAAAGTTCTTGTCCAGAGAATGGGGTCTAATAGTCATTTGTTGCCGTTTAACGGAGAAAATTCATGCAAATAATATGAAAAACATATGTCGCACATACAGGACTGCTATAAAAATTTGTTCTTATGAGCACGTAAACTTGCTTGTGTTTTGTTCCAAGAGGACCCAATAAAACAGGCGAGAATGATAAGCGACAACGTCATTGGCTTGACTGAGACAAGAACACGCCCACCCATTTGCCGCTGTCCGTGACATCGGAAAAGAAGTGTTTCATGGAACGTGCGAGAGTAGAGGTGCTGGTGTTCTTATCAAACCGAGATTTTTGATGAACATCTATTCAATCGTAAATAATTAACCCAAATCGTATGCTTGGGGTTGAAACGATGTGGACCAACACCAGGTTTGAGTACTCCTTTGTTTACGCACTAACGTCAAACTATGACGGAAGCAAAGTTAATCATTTCATGCAGGTTTTGAAAAGCCTTTGAATAGAACCGTACATTCTTCGAAGTTACCATTAGAAATTAACATATATGCGATACCATTAGAGATTAACATATATGCGAAAAGCCAATCACTTGTTTGACCGAAAGGTTTGGAAGTCGAAATTGCGCATTTTCGGAACGGACACCCATCGTTGCCTGTTCCGTTCTACTTAAATATATGTGAATGCTATCGCCAGGTGTAAACAGTATATGCAGCCTAACCTCTGATTTGCAAATTTCTTCCTCCATCATTTCTGGTGATATATCACTTGCAGGCTTGTTGTTTATCTGCAATATGTTTAAACAAGTACTTTATGGAACAGCTGTGGAATATAGCTTTAACGACTTTAACAGATTTTTTGAGCCATGCATGTTAGTGTTCTGTCAAGGAGGGCTGTCTTGCCCGTTATACGTGTTTTGATCTTGTGATCTCGTCAGTCGGGCAGTTACCCTTTCTCGTCTTTTGCCAATCCTGTGTGGGTGCTCCAGCCCCCACACTAAGAGTTAGCGGCGACGAACGTTGTACACTCTATGTCCAGTGAAATTATCACCGAACACAGAGTGTTGTACACTCGATTGCTCGTGGCTAGTATATGCATATCATAACTTTCGTTTCGAGTGCTTTCTGAAGACCACAGCTCAAATTTCAGTATACCTGATAATCATTTTTGAGCCACGCTCGCAAGTTCGAAGCACGTGTATCGGGCTCTATAAGTCAGCCCTCCTTGACAGACCACTGACATGCGTGGCTCAAAAATGATTATCAGGCATATTGAAATTTGAGCTGTGGTCTTAAGAAAACACTCGAAACGAAAGTTATGACTTTAGCAGAATTATGCAGTAAATTATTGCATAAACATTGAAAATTTTTGACACAAAATTCAAATATGCTAGATAACCATTTTTGAGCCACTCATGTCATGTGGTCTGTCAAATGGGCTGACTTATGGAGCCAGTTGCACGTGTTTCGACCTTGACGATTTCCTCAGTCGGGCAGTTACCCTTCGTCTTTGGACAATCCTCTCGGGGTGCTCAGTCCCCTATACTAAATTAGGCGACGACGAAATTTTTACACTCTATGTTCGGTGAAATTATAACCGAGCATACAGTGTTGCACTTTCGATTGCTCTTGGCTGGTATCATTAGTATATCAAACCTTTCTTTTCGAGTGCTTTTTCAAGACTACAGTTCAAATTTTGATTTGCCATACAATCATTTTTTGAAACTTTGAATTCTTGCACCCACCATATTGCAGCCAAAGAAATCGCCTATAATGAATTTTTGCCATAGTAGACATATAATTAAGTAGCAGCTAAACATGAAAGTGGATGAATGAAACACACTGTGTATGTGAAGAATGATTAGTAAGTGATAAGAATTATTTTGAGAAATTTTTTGTCAATCAGCCACCAATTGGGGGGGGGGGGGGAAGATATTCGTTGCAAGTCCAAGCACTTTCAATTCGTTATGCAATGGAAATTTTGAAATTCATTCAGTAAATCGATGATCTCCTGTTCGTGTGGAGACTGATTGGGAATTGGCAAGCTCTAATCAAGTGCTTACATACTATGGAATGTGTATAGCAAACCTTCCGAGGGAGTTTTGCTATCTTTTCGGGAATTACATGATAATTTATGCAATGCAGATGATCCACGACCTTAGAGAGCAAGTGGTTTCACAGAGGTTCGGGGACAGACAGAAATGGCCCACGTGGCGGGGGCGGTACCCAGCTGCCACCAACCTCCAACAGTCAGTTCGATCGCGGGGCATCATCCGTACGGTCGTCTGACTTCACGCCGACCACCTGATCTCATATCGTCATTAATCCATCATTGCTCTCTCAACACAATCTCGTTATCGTGTAACTAATTGCTTTCATAAGGTTGCGTTTATACAACTATCCGATGAACTCAGTAGAATTGTGAGCGGAACAAAGCGCTTCCGTGGCGGAGCAAACTCACTTAGGCTATGCTCGGCCCACCACCGCGGTTAAGGGATTCTGCCCATATATAATCAGTAGTGACCCCACTGCTAACACTATATACTCACCTACTGGATCTCGCCGCCGGTGCTTCTACTTCGGGGCGAACATAGCAGCCCCAAACGGTCTCCGCCGCTTAGTCATGCTCCGTCAGTTACAATAACATCGTCAGTCACAATAACATCGTCATTTGGAATAACTTTGTCACTTGCAATAACATTATCTCTTACAATAACATTATCGCTTACAATTGCATAATCGCTTACAATAACATCACCACTTACCCTAACACAGTCGCTTACGATAACCTTCATAGTATCGTCGCATGACGATACCTCTCATCAATCGGTCACTCATATTGACTTAGGCATATGTTCGCTTAATGATATGTCGTAATCATGTATATATTAACATCATGGTAATGTATGTATATTATAGGTTGTTTGGTACCACGCTATTGTTTGATTCCATCCTATTGTTTGGTATAATCCAAATAAAGGATTTGAACTCTGCTCTCTTGTCCATTACGAGACACATGTTGGCAGCAGATCACAACAACAACAAAACCACTAAACCTTCACCACATTTGGTGCATTGGCCGGGAACCGAACCCGGGTCGCCCGCGTCGCAGGCGAGCATTCTACCATTGAACTACCCTTTTAGTAGTCTTGTTCACTACATGAACGGTTCTGCCTAACCATGAGTTGCTGCGACATCGCACAAAGTCCACCAGTACTCTCATCCACTGGGATCGCCAAATCGGCAGCAGAATTGCCTGGTACAGAGTGACTCGCTCTGGCCGCTTCAGGTCACAAGGTCTACTCGTATTTTAGCACTCCTCTTGTTGTATTTCATTCCATAGGATTCAAATAAAAAATCGGCACCAGTGAAAGTTATTTGTTAGAAAAGGTTCTGATAAATCTTTGTATGATTAACAATATGGCATTTTTACATCCGTTAATTCTGGTCTTCGCAGAAAACGCAAAGCAACTGCTGTGGACATTGCTCTGACGTCTTCGTGGATCCGATAAAGGTGGAAACGCTTCAAGGTTAATCACATTAGAGGATTATGTAAATTTCGTGTCAGCCCACCAATAGTAATAGAATAGAAATTCCCCACAGTTGTCCATCAAAAGGCGGACTTGAACATTACTCTGCTTGATATTTGCGTACTTCTCGACTAAAAACACGAAGATCAGATACGGTAGTTTGCTAATAAATAACACTAAACCTGTTTGTTGATTTTTGTCGACAACTTTCTGTTGACTGAGAAGTAGTTGAGCATTTCAGAACTTTGCAAACTCGTAAAGAATCATACTGCTAATAGTTGTCTCAAGAGTCATTTTTGAAAGTCGGGAATAACTGTTGTACAGTATGTATATAAAGCCTTATGTGGAATATTTCTAGCTCAAAACTTCTTCAGACTCAAAATATTCATGAAACTGAGAGCCACGTGCCCTTGATGCCGTATTGTGTCATGTGAATGGCTACTTCATGTTAATCGTTTTTCAATTCGAGGTACTCTCTTGTTCGTGAAGAATTCAAAATCTCCGACCTTGCAGTTTTCAAACAAAACAGCTGGAGAATTTACTTCTAATCCATTAGCACAATGGCTCGGCTCTTCAAGTGCTATCTATTAGGATAAAAGGTTTATACACCGGCACTTATCACCAAATCTATATTCTCTATGCTCAGAAGCTCGTCACTCGCGTCATTCTCAAAAGCAATGACACAACACCTTGATTATGGCAGCCCTGTGAACGAGCAAGAATCTGAAAAGCATCGGGTACGATGAATCACTTATACAGTTGAAACCTGATGAAAAGTGATGAGGAAGCAAGTTATTTCAGTCATCTTTAAGAACATATGCTTTACTTGGTGAGACAAAATCGGCATAAAACTTGTGTATAGAAACTAGAGTGTCTTTCTTCCGTATATAATAACCTTACTTATACTGGTGCGCAGCGAATTCTCGATCGGATAGCTGTGATTCTCCTTTAATAAAGGCATCAGCTTCACAAGGCTTGTTGGGCAAACATTCTTGGCATATTTATTTGCCACTGTTTTTCACACGTTATGCGAATATCCGAGTATTTTAACAAAGAAATGGTACTCATTGGCTGATACATACAAACTTCGGTTTGTTATCGACACCGTTCAACACATCGCCGGCGAAGTCGTGTTTAGAAAGAGGAGCACAATTTTCCATTAGCCAATTTTGGTAAACAAAATCTTCTTATGAAGCACTTGTAATTAATTGGTAGTCTGACTCAAGCAGATGTTTTTTTTTGAGTTATTAAGTGGCGATTTATTGGAAGAACAACGTTCCTTAGGCCAATTAGGTTTTAGCGTCTACTTTTGATAAGTTGGCGATTTGTTATAGAAAGTGCTTCTGTACAAGCAATTGAACCACTTCATAAAAAATAGTAGAAACTCCTCAGTTTTTTCTAAGTATGGTAAAATTTGCTACACAATCATACGTGATCTTTTGCATATAGTTTCGCGGAGTAGCTCGCTCAGTAACATATATATCCTCAAATTATGCAGTCTATAATCGAAATTCTAAAATTCACAACACATTCGGAAGCTGCAGCAAAATAGCAGGTAACAACATGGTTGTGGTCGCTTGGTAACGTAAAAGGACGACAAGTCTTCGTACAATTCAATAAATTTTACATCAATCAATTAGAAATTATTTTTCTATCGACTATTTTTGAACATCGCTTTAAACATTCAATGTAGTCAGTGAGAATGTTTTGAGCCTTTTCGAGTATTACACGCCAGTGACTTACGTGCGCTTTGGGGGTATCGTCAACCTCATCAGAGCCACACGCCCCATAATTAACCTTACCCTATAGCAAGGAGAGTGGTAAGCACATTTGCGTGCTATCACCAAAAGCACATCGAGTTGGCTAGTAGCTGCGTGGCCCTAATGAGGTGGGCGATATCGCCGAAACGTACGTAAGCCACACATATCAGACTCGAAGAGGATTTGAACATTTTCGCAGTCAGTCAATTACAGTCAAATCGATGCGGGACACGCGCTTTAGAGAACGATAGCGTAAATTCAACTTTCCATCGTACCGGTTTAATGAAACAATTAATACTGAAAACATTCCGGCAATGATTCGGTGCAAAAAGAATATGCTTGTGTTCATTCGTTGGATTACTTTCTGTCATGCTGTCTTACAGAGCTATCTAGTTGATACAAAGCTGTAAATATATAGATTTTCGCTCGTCTTAATTTGATAGCTAAGTTATGACTAAGATGAGCAACGGCCCATGAAATCTGCACTTTGAATTAGGCCATCCATGAGTTTTTATACCATTATTTTGCTGAAGTTTATATTTATGCTCATATTTATTGAGGATCTTTTCTTTATCCAGGCACAAATGAATATTCGACCTCATTCTCTCTACAAGAACTTTCCAAAAAGAGTTAGTAATCTCATGAAGGCTTTCACCTCTGGCTAGCGACTTACATGACTGGTCTTTCAAAACACCCCTTTATAACGCTGCCAAATTGAAAATAGAATTATGTTTTATATCGGACGCGCAATACATCTATCGCCTCTGTAGAAGCAGGAAAAGCACGTGAACGTGTAGAGAGAATCTTTTAGTATCAGAATCATACGTTCCAACTGGAGTTTTTTTTGAAGCGGAGAAACAACTTCTAATTGAATAACAAAAATCGCACTTTAAGCAAGCTCCATCGATCGACAGCCACGGCGACCCTCTCTGCCTCCCCTTCCCCCTCGTACCGCGAACTTGTGAGATGTCCAAATGCACATACCCGCGTGTGTGAGTCAATCTTAATTCTCATGCTTTTCAGGAAATAAGCACAGAGTTGGAATCTCGAAATCTTCCGCTATGGAATGATTTTTGATTGCCTAAAGAAAGAGATGTGTCTTGCGAAAAAAAAAAACTCGTGCGTGAAACACAAAGCTCTCCTCACGTCGAAGCGTTATAAAAGGGTCCTTTGCAAAACGGCCATGTAAGGCGCCAACGAGAGACTTAAGCTTCTGAACGATTACTAACACTCTTATTAGAAGTTCTTGTCCAGTGAATGAGGTCGAATAATCATCTGTTCTTGCATAACGAAAAAATTCTTGTTGATTTATTGTCGTATACATTGGAGTAACAGGTATTTATTGTTATCAAACGAGGAATCATTTCTCAAAACATCGACGATTTTACAAGGGTATTGACAACCATTGCACAATCACTTTGAGGCCTGTCAGCGTGACTGGGTTTAATGTCAATGCTACAATAAATGTTGGATTTCTATCTAAAACATGAAAAAACCTTAAATAAATAACAAAAACCGCGCACCGGATACGAATCGCACTGGCGTGCAGCGATTTCAGCTGTGGTCCCAAAGAGGCTGATGAGAAAAAATTTCACGCAACATGTGAATTTCTCTGTGTGATGAATACGCACCGAGAGCAAAACAAAAAGTCTCTTGATTGAAGCGCATTAATCAGTTGTTGTTTAGAAAAAAGTAAACTTGATATCGCCGAGAGTTGAGCTAACAAATGATTAAAACCACAAAAAAGCTCTATACAGCGAAAAATACCCGAATGTCTAACATGATCATATTTTATTGTCTCAGCATAATAAAAAGGGTGGAGCGCCGTGGCCGAGTGCTTGTAATGCTTATAGTAGCGCTCGTGGAACCGAGCTCCCCACCCTCACTCTTACTCCAGCCATTTCCGGCAGTCAACAACAATGCCATATGGAACGCCACAGCCAGGCTTACCCTTGAGATTTAAGGGAGATTTGCTCAACAAGTTATCATCGACGCTTAAGAAGAAAACGAAAAAACAAATTGAGTGTTAAAGTACTGAAATCCGCACACTGAAAAAAATCGCTGTGAAGACTTATCAATAAAGTGTCAAAAGTAAAAAGGCTAGTCCTGAAAATAAAATTAAGCATTGAAATTCTTGAGATTCAAGCTATCAAATTACTACTGAAACTTTGAGAAAGGCAAGAGCGCTTCCCAAGGAGGTGAAACAGGGTGAAGATGAAAGAAATGATCCAAAAATTTCTAGTGAGAAGTTTCGAAAGCAACGAAGATAAGTGGAAGGATTTCTGATGTGCAAAATATTTAGACAGTCAATCCCTGGTTGACAAACAAGATACCAAAAGTTCTCTCCTTGTTTCGCGTAAATGCGAATATCACTCGAGAATGTGGTTTTATTCGAATGTGGTTGGTTGAGATATATAGGATAAAGGGTCAAAGCAGCCGGCGTTGATCAAACCTTGACGGATGCTCCATGCATTCGTCTTTAATTTTTAATTTCCTTTAAAGTGATTAAGCTTAAGATCATTTTGCTCATAGCATATGTTGTTCAGGCTCTTTTTCGTTAGACTGAGAGAAATAAATCTTCGATTCCATTCGTTGGACAAGAATTTTTCATAAGAAAGATAGGTATATTCAAAAACTTAAATCTTTAGCTAGAGCAGTAAGTGACCGGTTTTTTCAAAACACTATTGTA